GAATCGTGGAGTCTATTCATATCATTATTCACTAATTCCATTATCAGTTTTTCATCACATGCAGCCCAGGATATATATTAAAGATGTACAGGTAGTATCGCAACCTACTCGTTATGAATTAATTTTCTAAAAATTATTTCAACACGGACGTCCAATGTAACTGTTACCACAGCTACATAAAGGTGGGTGAGCCCAGGAAAAATCTTTTCTCGAGAATATTTCCAATTTGAACGTCAATCTGTACAGAGTGACGCCTTCTTTCTAACAGATAGATTGTTTATACTAGCTTCTCGAGTTTTCAGAGCAATTGTTCCTTAAAATATCGTTAAGAAAATTATCTTCGTTATTAAATTCCATTTATCTGTTGATTTTATCGGCTACGTTGAACATTCCCTTCACCTCTTTTGCTCCGTATTGCTTTCTTGGCGATTGGTCGTTTGAATGAATCCGTGATGGCTACAAAAAGTAATTGATCCTTTATTTAGAGCTAATGAATGAAGGTATGACAAGTATTCAATTCCTTTTGACGGTTTATCAGCAATTTCTTCATATGTCCTTGTTTGCCATGTTCTTATCTCTATTTTAATCAGCTATCTGGCATAGCGTCTTTTACAAATGTGATACGGAGATTTCTCTCAGTATAAGCCTATTGAGCATATCATTAAGTGTTTTTTTTTTAGTTTTACTTCTCTTTATCACTATTTATTCACCTAGCATTAACGTGACTTACTTATTCTGTCCATCTCTACAGTTCTCTTAAATTCTCAAATTAAACAATGAACACTTTAACGAGTTGTGGCTTAGTGCTGAGAATGACAAGACTCACTTATGATGCCGATTACGTTGCAGGCGAAACGTCTCAGAATGTACCAAATCCACTGTCTGGCGCTGTGAATTATGTTAGCAGGTGACTTCGGACAACGTGCGTCCAACTTATTCGCTCTGACAACAAGACCAAGTTTCCAAAACGAAGTCGAATCACTTCTATGTATCGAAAGGAGACTGCGACTATACTGAGAGCCACACCATCTTGGCCTTCATATCTTCTTTTATCTATTGTTATAGGCGGATTTTGAATAATTTCTCCTCAATTCTATGCTTATTAGTTCTCCCTTTTCAGGTTCGAACAATCTTTCGCTTTAAAGGCTGACTTGCTGGCTGTGGGGATCCAGCTGGTTTCGTTAAAATTCAAGCCCCTCAGGTCTTCCAATGATTTTAATTTGATCACCAAATGATTATAGATTGTTGTGATACTTGCTGCATTTTATATTGATCCAATATAGATACAAGACTCGTATAGTCTGAACAAGGCGGACTGTCAGTAAACATGATATTTTTTGCATAATAAAATTGACCTTAATGATAGTAACGTTGGGTATTTTCCTATGCTCTATCTCAAAGTAAATGGTGTCCATGGCTGCTTCAGAAATATAATTAAGGCTTTTAAGCGTTTGTAAATGCCAATGATTTGGCTTTTTATATTGTCCTGTAGGGATCAAAAGAATTATTTTTCGATGTTGGACCATGGTCTTTTCTCCTTTTTTTCATATTTTTGGCTTAATTTTGATTATTTTTGTTTTGAGTAGGTTTTAATGAATACCAGTAAATTAGATATAGGAGCTCTGTCCATCCTATTTTATTTAAGGTGATGAAGGACTGGTAGTTGAATTTCCCCCACAATGATGTAAATAGATATGACGTTTCCATTGAATTTCACATAGCCTTGTTTTCCTAAAAGGCGGCGGACTGCAGTTTCGTCCTCGCTTAGGTCTTGTCAACACTACCGGCGGGACTATCCAGTCTTTCATCACCCTAAACGAAATCGAGTGAACACAGATCATACATATGATTTATTGATAGTCTCAAAAACCTCATCGGGCCGAAAAATAAGTAATATCGTCGATTGCTATAGAAAATATAAGCTGTAGTTGTATCTGTCAAACTTGCACAATTATCGTACCGTTGGGCACCGATAGAATATTATTACCTCAATAGTTGATCCATGTACAATAAACTTAGGTCTCTCTCAATGTTTCCTGTCTTATTTATTTCCTTTGAATATCTAATAGTAATTAGAGTATCGATAAACACAATTTTCTAAGACCAATTTAATTTCTAGTTGAACATCTTAAATCTAAGTTTCGTCTTTATAAAACGGTGTCTATGCTATCTGTCTAAAAACAATAAACAAGAATAATGATGATCAACTGTTTTTTCATATTTGTTTCACTACGACGAATATTATTATTGAGGTCTTTTATGTGCAATAAAATTCATTTATAAACATTTTAGTCTTTAGATTAAGATCTTTGCTTGTCTATGAATAATGTAATACATTTTGCATGGGGTAGATGAGCAAGCAGCACAAAATCCCCTTCATATTTGTATACCTTTCTTGTCTTAAAGTTAGCTTCTCAGTTTCATATTTCACTCTGTTGCATCTTAACAACTCAATTAAAAAAACCCGGAATAGACGAATTAATGTAATTTTAAGGAGTTTGCAGTCTTAAGGGCTAATTTTACCGAGCTACTGTGGTGGTTTCCTATTTCAATTTTTAATTGCTTTCCAATATTTTTTGCCTTCTCATAATCACTTATCTCTACCTCCCTTGTACATCTTACCTATTTGTGATATCACAGCCAAGATCGACGATGTCGCATGTCTGCTCGTGGACGCGCCACCAGCGCATTAGCTCTTATTTTGTCTGGCTCAAATGAACGCACCTCACGAGGACCTCTCACACGATCTGCTTCTTCTACTGCTGCCACCAGTCTGCCCGGCTGCCTCAGTAGTGGGAGTGGGGGTTTGGGTAGTGACGGTTTGTCTGGTTTGTCAGTCCCTTTGGGACTTACTAGTGGCCCTCTACATAGGGTTGGCCCTGCCTACTATGCCACTAGCCACGATGATATGTCCTTACTTAATAGTGCGATTTCAGCATCTATTGCTGCTGCAGCTGCAGCACACCCGCTCACCGGCAGCAACAACATGAGTACCCTGACAACTAGTGGCCTTGGTGGGGTGGGTCCTAGTGGCTGTATGTTTGTAAGTGAGGCGAGCGGGTTCACTGCGTCTGCTGGTCTCCTATACACTAGTCTTTCATCAGGTCACTCTATACTTCCTGGCATACCAGCCAGTTTCCAGTTGATTGGGGATGGACAATACACCAGGAAAGGGGATAAGGAGGAAGGTTATCTTGAATATGCAGCCAATCAAGCTGACTTTGAGGAAGATTCACTGAGCACAGATGAAGATAATAACGATGAGGATGAAAGTGATGGAGAGGTCAGTGATCAGGCTCACCTTCGGGGACAATCATGGCGTCGTGAGAGAGACCGGCACCGGCTGCGTCACCCATTCCCCAAATTTGCTCGCGGACAGAATGAAAATACTAGATTTGGTTCGGCCTCCTCTACGACATCCAAATTACCGCAGCCCTTTTCTACTCTTGATGCTGCGAGGTTTACTGCTATCCCTAATCCGAGTGGTCGCGAACGGGCTGACAGTCAACATGCTATATCTTCCACAGGAGAGCTGGTCGAACAACAGGCATTTTCATCCGTCCGCATCCGGCATTCTTTCGGTTCTGGGCTAAGCCGAGTCGATTTGACGAGTGGAGACGGCTGCGGTGATAGCAGTATCTGCCGCCATCGTATTGAATCTGGTGTTGCCGGCCCAACTCCTGCTTGCTCATCAAGTAACACCAACGAGTTGACAAATCCTGTCCGGTCAATATTTACACATAGCAGAATTGGAAACTCATGCTCATGCAGCAGCTCTGCTCTGCCCACTGGCGGCAGTTGCGCCTCCCAACTACCCGTCTCTCTAGCTTGCATGGCCCCTCCTAGAGTTTCGGGAGCAAATGCTTGTAGTGCATCTACATCTGCTAGGCCCTGGACTCATCTGACTAAACAACAGCTAGTTTACCGACGCCTCTATGGGCTAATCGATCATCCAAGTGTAAGCTTGGTACGAACTCGACCTAGCTCGAGGTTCTTTGGTCTTGGCTATCAATTGCTTGCCCCGTCCTCTCCTTACACTCTGGCATCTCACTACTCACATACTTATACCACTGCATCCTTGAATCGTCCTGGAGCAACGATAGTTACTTGTCCTATGTCCTCAGGCCACACGGACACGCTCCATCGGCGTGCCTCCGCTGGCTTTCCTACAGATGTCCTTACGTCCACAGGAGCTGACCCCAGTTGTGGTGGCGGTCTGTTTGCTCGTCGGTCGTTCACTCTTGGGGGCGTTGGTCATGCCCGA